AAAGCTGCAGCTAATTCAGAACGCCGCTGCTCGAGTCCTCACTAACACTAAGAAAGTGGATCACATCACTCCTGTTCTGAAGTCTTTACACTGGTTCCTCACTGACACTAAGAAAGTGGATCACATCACACCTGTTCTGAAGTCTTTACACTGGCTTCCTGTGTGTCGAAGAATAGATTTCAAAATACTGCTGCTGGTTCATAAAGCTTTGAATGGTTTAGGCCCAAAATACATTTCTGACCTCCCGCTAAATGATGAACCATCCAGATATCTCAGGTCTTCAGGGACTGGTCAGCTTTCTGTCCCCAGAGTCAGAACTAAACATGGAGAAGCAGCGTTCAGTTATTATGCTCCAAATATCTGGAACAAACTCCCAGAAACCTGCAGGTCCGCTGCAACTCTGACTACTTTTAAATCCAGGCTGAAGACTTTTATTTTTGCCGCTGCTTTTAATTGAACTTTTAATTATCTTTGCTTTTTAATGACTGATTTTAAATGCCATTTTCTTAATGACTTCCATTTTTGTAAAGCACTTTGTATTGCCTTGTGTTTAAAGGTGCTATATAAATAAACTTGCCTTGATCGGCCTGTAGGGAGGGACGGCCCTGGGTTCCTCGATTATCGCTCCTCGAGCTTGATTTAGTAATTTATGGTCCCATGTAGAGTAAAATAGATGACAAAGCATGGTATCAGGGCCTTGTGATTGGCTAAAATACATTATGATTAGCTGTCAATTGTTTTGTCCATTTTACTTGTTGTTTTACATTTCTAGTCCACTGGGTAATGGGTTACTTCACAGTGACTACATCCACTTCTTATAAATAGTATTTATTGTGTAATCAGTGTGGTTAATGAAAAGAGTCAGCTTCATTCAAACTAAAGCTGGGACATGTATGAAGTGATTCAATGTGAGTCAGGAGCTGAGTCAAATGCGTCAGAAAGAGTGTGTGATTGGGTGGGTCAGATATTGGATTCATTTTTTTTGTTCTAGTGAGCATATCAGACAGCATGACTAACCTTCCCATACAGCACACTGGCATTCCTTACATGAGTATCACTGCTGGAGTTTTCCACACCCCGCGATAGGGAGGACATTCTGCTGAAATATTACACTTTGGGTATTTGTAAAAAGTTTGAGTTTCAACAGACTCGCTCACTTATTTCTTGGAATCTGCCATCCTTAATGTAACATACCAGACTGCGGTGCTGATAAATCCCACAGGAGTAAACTCTGTGGAGTGGAACAGATCAGATTTCTGGAAATGTTGTTGTGTGCTGCCTCAAGGTCAGATCAGACACACATTTGGTTATTTGTAAATGCAACCTATTGACAAACAAAAAGTAAAATAATGAAAATAATGGTATGCCCAGTTGAAGGTCAGAATACATTTTATTGGTCTATTGAACTGCATAATATTTTGCACATCTATGCACCTTATTACCTGGTCACTTACTGTTTAGCTTATATAAAACATAAAATGCCTGTGGTGCATTGATCCATATCACAGAGGATAAGTCAGTGGCTGTCGGGGATGTTTTCATTTGTTTTGCAAAAAGTTCTAGAAAAATAGCTGTTGGCCTGACAGTGCCAGGGCTCTTCATCAAAAACAGCTGTCTGGGGCGGCAGCTTATTTACAACAACACTAAAAGTTCAGGAGAAAGTGCAGCTTTGGTTAAGGTTTGATACAAAAAGCCAATAATTAAGAATTCAGCTCGCCGATTCACTCCATATTACCACAAAGTTGAATAAAGTATGTGTTTGACTTAAGGACCAAATAATGCAAAAGGTTGGGTCAACCAATCGCTCAGTCATAGCCATGCTAGTATTGACAAATACTGTTTAACTGAGCTCTGTTAGTTACTGTAGTTAGCCTATGTTAAGAATCAAAGTGGCTGAAAACATTGGCTGAAATTAATTCTCGTATCCCAAAGGCTATCTGACCACATTTGAGCTTTTCATAACTAGTTGTGACTTCCTCAGCCTGGGACACGCCCACCTGCTCTGTGTTAATGCGTTCTTTCTGTTCCCACACTGTATCTTGTGCCAAAGAGCACTTTGACTGTGATTTGCAAAACATTTCTGACATACTGTTCAAGCATTGGTCTCACCTTGTTGTTGAAACACCACACTCTCAGTGTTCAAATACATGTGTTCCAAATGTTTGCCCGCCGGAAGGACTTTACGGTTTGCAATAAAACAGATTCCTCACTAATCTGAAGCAGCTGTGCCCTCAGTTTGCAGTACTGAAGATATGGCTGTGAGAATAAATATTCATATTAAGTCTTTTGACCTAAATAAGATAGGTTGAAGATGTTCCCCACTGCGTTCTCACTCGAATAGATACAGAGGGAGCAGCTTCGTAATGCAGGGCGAGGGTAGGGTCATATCCAGTTCTACACATTGCAGCACATGGCAGCTATGCTTTATGTGTGGAAAAATGTGAGAAACATCACAACTCAATTGTATTGTTGGAGATTTTGGCTGTAACTGTACCTACTTGGACTTTCACTTGCACACAGACGTTTATAATTATCCATATATATATATTCAAATTACTTACACTACCAGTCAAAAGTTTGGACACACTCTGTCAGCTTCATGAGGTCGTCACCTGGAATGGTTTTCAATTAACACGTGTGCCTTGTCAAGACTCAATTTGTGGAATGACTTTCCTTCTTAATGTGTTTGAGAGCATCAGTTGTGTTGTGCAGAGGTAGGGTTAGTGCACAGTGGAAAGCCCTATTTGACTGCTGTTGTAATCCATATTATGGCAAGAACCACTCAACTCAGTAAAGAGAAACGACCGTCCATCATCACTTTAAGAAATGAAGGTCAGTCGATCCGGAAAATGTCAAGAACTTTGAATTTATCCTCAAGTGCAGTCGCAAAAACCATCGAACAATGATTCTTAAATCATTGCTAATTAAATGCTGACTTAGATGTTTTACAGATGCATTTGATATGAACATCCTGCCAAAATAACTGTTTCCTTTTATGTTGATAAAAACATAATCTGGGCAAAGTCTTGTTTATAAAAATGATTTGTGTAAATTGTATATTAGTGTAAATATTAGACAGGGTTGAGTAATACTAACAGTGTCTCATTCTGTCTGTGTGTGTGTGTGTGTGTGTGTGTGTGTGTGTGTGTGTGTGTGTGTGTGTGTGTGTGTGTGTTTGTGTGTGTGTTTGTGTGTGTGGAGGTCACATGGTTTCTAATTGCTACCAGGTGGTCCTCGCCACTTTTCACAAGAAAACCAAAAATACCTTCAGCTTTAGCTCTGCTCTTTGCTACTTTTCTTCAGTCCCACATTCCCTGGCTGCTCTCCTATCCCGGGTATCTATCTTTGTAGATTAGATGCTGAACTTTAATGTGACCTCAAGTCTTTAAAAGCTTAATAAAACAATGTTTTAGGGGCGTTTGGCAGCAGAACAAACTTTATACAGCTAATGAAGTTGATATTGGAAATCTTTAAGTAAACAGTCACTTATAATGGAAGACAGCTAAAAAACAACGAGCTAAAAGAGGCTGAGCAGAAGTGCAGGATTCGTGATAATCCTTTGGGATCTTCACTATGAGAGACCCACAAAGTACAGTTCATCTATAGTGCAAAAGTCATATACTTTTATTTTGGACAAAATTGTAGAAGTGTGGCTTTGAGATTAGGCTTTGAAAGACAAACGCTGGACCTCGATGAAAACACTATGATTTATCATTACATTTATCTTTAGATCTGTATCTATTTATCTCTCACTTTATAAATAGTTTGAAATACAGCCACTTATAAACTTTACTTAAAGGTGGGGTAGGTAAGTTTGAGAAACCGGCTCGAGATACACTTGTTGTTATATTCCATGGAATGCTCTTAACATCCCGATAGCAATGAATATCTTAAGTGCTTTGACAAAAAATCCATAACAAAATGTCATCTGTGGAAGCTGTAGTACTGTAAAAAGCACGACCAATCATTTTAGCCGGCCCGGCTAAAATAACTGGATGGCCTACCTGCCTGTCAGCCTTCCATCTGTGCACAAACTTATCTCGTGCCCTCATTGGTCATGTGCGCGTTCGTGTGTGTTGGAGGAGGGGCTCTGTAAGGAAGTGGCAGATTTTCTCCGGTTGTGTATTTTCAAATCCTAGCGCACTCGAGCTGGTTTCTCCAAAATGACCTACCCCACCTTTAACATTGAATCTATGTAGTCTATGATCTCTGATGGTTTGTATATTTAGTGACCTTTTGTTTGACTGGATTTTTGTTTTCTGTTTATCGGCTGTAATCACGTCCAACTTGTGAAAAATGTGTAAATCACAAAGAGATGACATGTTTAAATAGATAAAGGGTATGCATCAGTTAATCATGGCAGTGGGGCAGTGTGCCCTGAATGGAATGCAGCCCTAATTACAGTAATGTCATTAGAGCGTTGTATTGCTCAGACCCACATGTTGTAAGAAATAACAAGAACAGCAAAATGCTGTGTATGACCACATGTACCAGTTAAAACTAGGATTAGATTTAAGGAAATGTTGATTCTTTATCATTTTCTGAGTCACAGTATTGCTGTGTGTTTAGAAAGAGAATACGTTCTGCTGATCTAAGTCATGAACTGCTGGACCACCTGGGACAATACTGCCAGTAACATGCGGCATAAAGCAGTCTCCACAGAAACAGTTAAATCCCCCCCCCCCCCCCCCCCCCCACAGAGACAGGATCCACTGTTTCAGTGGGTGTAACCACTGCAAAAAGCCCTCATGTTTCTGTGAGTTTACACGAGGGTCAGCTGCAGACGGACTTTGTTAAAGGGTTGTGTGTCGGCTCAAGGACATCCATGTTCAATCTGAACTGTGGTGAGAGGGAGGGTTCATACTGAGCACATTGTTGCAGAACCCTCCATCAGCAGGCAGGCATGTGGGAGGGATCAGCAGGCGGAGTGAAGCGGAACCCTGAACCGTCCCCCAGTGCACCCCCCCCCCCCTCACTCTCAGTTCTGTGGAGCTCCATAGTGAAGTCTCGTTCACAGCCTCCTCTCTGGGTTCAGATCTAACTGGGTCAAGCTCTGAGGAGGAAGGATTTTAGGTTGAGTTAACATGGCATCTCTGAGAACTGTGATCTGTCTGGGGGTCTGTCTGTACACCTGGACCCTCACTGCTGCAGGTAAGACAACAAGACAACAACAACAACAAGACAACAACAAAAAGACAATAACAACAACATAGATAGATAGATAGAGGGATAGATGAATAGATAGATAGATGAATAGATAGATAGATAGATAGATAGATAGATAGATAGATAGATAGATAGATAGATAGATAGATAGATAGATAGATAGATAGATAGATAGGTAGGTAAATAGATAGATATAGATAGATAGATAGATAGATAGATAGATAGATAGATAGATAGATAGATAGATAGATAGATGAATAGATAGATAGATAGATAGGTAGATAGATAGATAGATAGATATATAGATAGATAGGTAGGTAGGTAGATAGATAGATAGATAGATAGATAGATAGATAGATAGATAGATAGATAGATAGATAGATAGATAGATAGGTAGATAGATAGATAGATAGATAGATAGATAGATAGATAGATAGACAGACAGACAGACAGACAGCTAGGTAGGTAGGTAGGTAGGTAGGTAGGTAGGTAGGTAGGTAGGTAGGTAGGTAGGTAGGTAGGTAGGTAGGTAGGTAGGTAGGTAGGTAGGTAGGTAGGTAGGTAGATAGATAGATAGATAGATAGATAGATAGATAGATGTAGTTCAAAGTTTATGTAACTTGTCTCCAACATTCCCATGTGGTTATATCCAGTGGTGAGAGAAGTACTCAGATATTTTACTTAATATCCTAAAATACGCTTAAGGACCAAAAGTAAAAGTAGCCGATAGGAGAATCGCTCATTTCAGAATAATATACCAGAGGATTTTATTGTATTTATTTATGCATTAATGGGTACATTAATGTAATTTTGCACTGTGTAAATATGGGGATTATTTGAATGTGTCTGTACAATGAATGTAGTGGAGTAAAGAGTACAACAATAAATAAATGTAGTATAAAGTTGATGTTTCCTATCACATGCTTTTCTATTCAGCCGTTCTGTTGTGTTGGCATTGTGTGGAGATTAGACTTCTGGTGCCATGTTTACTGTAATTCTCCTGTTTTTAGTTTTTTTCATAGCTGCCCTTTTTAGAATAAAAAGATTGGCTGCCCCCCCATCATTTAAATAGTATGTTTGTCCAGATAAGCTGATATTTGACCTGTTGTGTTTAAATGTAACTTTAACTTGGTTGGTTATTGGCTAATGGTTACACAAGCCAAAAAACGTTATGACATCATAAAGTGGCCAAAATCTGATCAGCTCATTTTCAGACAGGTTTTTTCAAAAAGTGAGAGAATCTTTTTTCCTGAAACTTTCAGAATCTCTTTACACAGAGGGGACACATGTTGGTACCACTTTACAATAAGACTACCCTTATAAAGGGTTTACGAATAGTTTGTAATTCATTTATTAATTAGGTTGTGAACACTTTATAAATCATTAATAAGCTTTTATAAGACATGAGATAAACAGGGCAACTGTGACCGGTGGCTTGCCAAATAGTGAGCCCACATTTATCTGTACTGCTAAGTCTTATATTGGCTACTTAGCTTACTTCGTCTCCTTCATCAGCCAGCATCCTTGGTATCTGTTGTTCACCGAGTTGATTCTCGCCAAGTAACCAATATAAGGCTTACTCATCTTGCCAAATAGTGAGCCCACATTTATCTGTACTGCTAAGTCTTATATTGGCTACTTAGCTTACTTCGTGTTCTTCATCAGCCAGCATCCTTGGTATCTATTGTTCACCGAGTTGATTCTCGCCAAGTAGCCAATATAAGGCTTAGTCATCTTGCCAAATAGTGAGCCTGTGTTGATGTATGAAAACTATGTTAGAACTGGTTTATAAATGGTTCTTAATGATTAATAAAGTGTTTACAACCTAATTCATAACCTAATTATAAACCCTTTATGAATCCTTTATAAGGGTAGTCTTATTGTAAAGTGGTACCGATATGTTTATGTATAAAAGACATGAAAAAGTGGAATAGGTGACCTTTAAGGTGTATATTAACTAACCTGTTAAGCCCGGTAGCCCTAAACCTCTCTAAAAAGGTAAACTGTCACTTGTTTTGCATCAATCTTGATACAGGGTACTTATTATATGTTATAGTTTGGATTCCTAAAGCTTTTTGTCTACTATCCCATCATTCAAGGGTGGTTTTCACTATAAGTAATGTTTTTATTTGGACGGAAACTATAATTTAAAATGTTTTACTATGTTCAATCTGAATTTACTTTAAAATAAAAACATATGTATTGATTCTGACTCTTCTACATCCAACTCACAGGTGTATCATTGCTTTGAGAAAAAAGATTATTAATTTACCCCTTTTAGAAGTGAAGATATTTGTTCTGGGCATGTCATTTTCGAGCCTGATAGCTGAAAGGCCAAGGGCTTAACAGGCTAATCTAATGTTCCCGTCAAACTCTAGACCAAAATATATGGAGATACAACTGTTAATGTTGTTAATTTATGGCAGCTAGAGAAGTATTTTTAAGGTTGTGTTGGTCTCTTTTTTTACAAATATAGTTTATTTTCTTAATTATGAAGCTACTTTCCCACCATTTTATTTTATTTTATTCTTATTAAAAGTTCCCTATCTCCCTCCCCCAGATCATGTCAGGTGAAGGGTCAGAAAGTCAGCAGTTTGTGGGTTTTTTACTGGTCGCCCCTTAGATATCACATAGAAATATTTTATTTTATTAAAATGCTGATCAGCTTTGTGACAATCTGATGCTCTGATAGTCATACAACATGTTCATGTTTACTCCACTATTCTAAATGATCCAATGTTACAGCGTACTGTAGTTTAAATACAATAGATATTTATTTTTGTTGAAATACAAATGTTGGAAATGTTCAGTATGGTGATGATGTAAATATGTGTCATGATGTAACAAGAAGTTTGCACATTTTCCACTTAATTTATATCCTTAAATGTTCTGTGATTCACCTAATCATGACGCAGCACATTTTGTTTGGGACATGTGGTAATGATTATGCAACTAATAAACCAAACAGAGTGTTACACAACATTCTTAAGACGCTGCAAGAAATGAAGGCATGAGAACATGAATGGAATGTTACATGAGTGTTTGCTGTAGGAACTCAGAGAGGATGAACTGCATGTATATGACTGTTTTCATTTGGTTACATTCTCACTCTGGGCTCATATCCAGCTCTCAGTGGCAGAGTCTGACTTTAATTATAGTCTATTCACGAGGAAGGAGAGACTGGGGAGGAGGATTTCAAAGTATTCTCCAGCATATTCAGAGATCAGCAGGAAATAACGTTGTGTTGCATTTGTTCGTAGAAAACAACATGCCCAAAGCAGAGAATTTAAAATGGGTTTCTCTGGACTTTAAAACCATCCTCAATTGGACTACTGAAGAATCTGACTACAAATACACCGTCGCCGTCTCCAGGTAAGCACACACACACACACAATACAAAAATAATTGCAAGCAGATATTCGACAATTAGAACAACAATTGTACAATATATTTAAAAAAATTAAGTTTGTAAAAACACACGGTTGTGTATCGATATAGGATTCTAGGATTCAAGGCTTTTATTGTCATTTGTACGTAGCTACAGTTATGACAATGAAAATCTTAGGTCACAGGCTCCTCCAACAGTGCAACACAACAAAACAGATAAAATAATTAAAGTAAATAAAATAAAATATAATATAATAGAAACAGTGCAGAATAGTCTATATACAAGTAATTGGAATATTGATATATATATAAGTTGCAAACAGATTAATGTTATGGATGTTCTTTCAAAAGTGCAGGTGTTTAACAGTCTTATGGCCTGTGGGATGAAACTGTCCCTGAGTCTGGTGGTTTTAGTCCGGATGCTGCGGTACCAGAGACAGAACAGTTTGTGGCTGGGGTGATGGGGGTCTTTTGTAATCCTGAGGGCTTTCTTCCTGAGCCGCTGGGAGTAAAGATCCTCCATGGATGGCAGCTCCGTCCTGATGATGTGCCGTGTAGTTTTCACCACCCATAAGGAGGGGTCTGCGCTCCCACGGACGCAGTGAAATCATACATCTGTGGGGGTCGCTAATACATTACCAACAACCATTATTTTAATCACAAATAATGCATGTCTCAATGTAATGAGTATTATTTACGTTAACGAGGTAAATAGGCTAAAAGAAAAACATGTTTTCCAGAAGAACTACGCATCTCTTGAATGACAATATGCCTGCACTGCACCTCCAAGGTGCGCAATACATTATTGCGCAATCTATGCCTGTGAGCGTGCTGCGCGAGCCGAGATGATGTGTGTGTATGTAGTTGAACCTTTTCATATTTAAGTTTGTAGCAAGTAGAGGGCTGCTGCTGTGTGTGTGCGCGTGAGTGCGTGCGCACGCGTTAGTTTTAAAGACGCCCATAGAGCTCAGTTTATAACTCAAACCCTGGTTGAGGGCGGTGCAACTGCCGTACCAGGCGTGATGCAGCCAGTCAGGATGCTCTCCATGATGCACCTGTAGAAGGTCAGGATGCTCTCCATGATGCACCTGTAGAAGGTCAGGATGCTCTCTATGGTGCACCTGTAGAAGGTCAGGATGCTCTCCATGATGCACCTGTAGAAGGTCAGGATGCTCTCTATGGTGCACCTGTAGAAGGTCAGGATGCTCTCCATGATGCACAGAAGGTCAAGATCCTCTCCATGATGCACCTGTAGAAGGTCAGGATCCTCTCTATGGTGCTCCTGTAGAAGGTCAGGATACTCTCTATGGTGCTCCTGTAGAAGGTCAGGATACTCTCTATGGTGCACCTGTAGAAGGTCAGGATGCTCTCCATGATGCACAGAAGGTCAGGACCCTCTCTATGGTGCACCTGTAGAAGGTCAGGATGCTCTCTATGGTGCACCTGTAGAAGGTCAGGATACTCTCTATGGTGCACCTGTAGAAGGTCAGGATGCTCTCTATGGTGCACCTGTAGAAGGTCAGGATCCTCTCTATGGTGCACCTGTAGAAGGTCAGGATCCTCTCTATGGTGCACCTGTAGAAGTTGCAGAGTATCCTGGAGTCAATTTTGAACCTCCTCAGCCTGCAGAGGAAGAAGAGCCGCTGTCGAGCTGTTTTGTTGATGGTGTTTGTGTGAAGAGTCCATGTCACGTCCTCAGTGATGAGTCCATGTCAGGTCCTCAGTGATGAGTCCATGTCAGGTCCTCAGTGATGTGGACACTGAGGAACCTGAAGCTGCTGACTCTCTCCACCGTAGTCCCATTGATGGCGATGGGGGTGTGTCCCTCTCTCTGATGCTTCATGTAGTCCACAATCAGCTCTTTGGTTTTGCTGACGTTGAGATGGAGGTTGTTATCCTGGCACCAAGATGTCAGGTTTTCGACCTCCTCTCTGTACGCCGTCTCGTCGCCGTCGGTGATCTAGCCGATGACGTTCCTGTCGTCAGCAAACTTCACGATGGTGTTGGAGCTGTGTGTGGCCACGCAGTCGTGTGTGAACAGGGAGTAGAGGAGAGGGCTGAGCACGCAGCCTTGAGGGGCTCCGGTGTTGAGGATCAGGGTGGAGGATGTGATGTTTCCCACCCGCACTGCCTGGGGTCTGCCCGTCAGGAAGTTCAGGATCCAATCACAGAGGGCACTGTTGAGCCCGAGGTCTCTGAGCTTGATGACCAGCTTGGAGGGCACAATGGTGTTGAAAGCTGAACTGTAGTCAATGAACAGCATTCTCACATATGTGTTCCTCTGGTCCAGGTGTGAGAGGGCAGTGTGGATGGTGAGGGCTATGGCGTCGTCTGTTGACCTGTTTGCTCTGTAGGCAAACTGCAGGGGGTCCAGAGAGTCAGCGAGGGAGGAGGTGATGAGTGTTTTGACTAACCGCTCAAAGCACTTCATGATGATGGAGGTGAGTGCTACTGGGCGGTAGTCGTTAAGGCTGGTGGTTTTTGACTTTTTGGGGACAGGAACGATAGTGGAGTGTTTGAAGCATGTGGGGACTACAGACTGTAGCAGGGACCTGTTGAAGATGTCTGTGAACACCTCTGCCAGCTGAACTGCACACACCCTGAGAACACGGCCAGGGATGCCATCAGGTCCAGGAGCCTTGTGTGGGTTAACCCTTTTAAAGGATTTGCACACATCTGCCCTGTTTAAAACAAAAGGGCAGGGCTCCTGGGCTTCATGTGCGTCCAAAGCCTGCCTGGTCTCGAACCGTGCATAAAAAGCGGTCAGCTCATCTGGGAGAGATGCGCACGCAGACAGTCCCGCAGCACCCCCCGCTGCTCCTTTGTAATCTGTCATTGTTCTTAGGGGCCCTTTACACGAGAACGAAACAGCTTGTATCTGCATAGTTTCTCTTGCATATAGCCATATTATTTACACAAGGCCGTAACAAACGGACCCCACAAACGATAACGGGTCCCAAGGTGGATAGATTTGCAAACGGAACTCTCTGGGGGGTCAAACGGCTCCGTGTAATCGCCTCTATACGAATATTTCCTGAAAAAATAACGATAGCCCCACCTCTCCCCGCCTCTGCTGCTCACTGCTGTAGCATGGCCAGTAGCTACTGTCAGTAGCTACTGCTACTGACCATGCTACAGATGTTAGTACAACATCTACAGCTCGACCATGCTACAGATGTTAGTGCAAAATCTACAGCTCCTCTACCACAACCATCAGCAACAAGTGGACATGGAGAATTACATGAACTACTACATGTTGCTAAATCCACCGCGGGGCATAAACAGAAGGGTAGCCATGGCAACATTGCTGTGGGGCTGCTCCGGGGTCTTCTTCACTGCTTTTGGTGTATTTTGTGGCGGAAGTTACAGCGCCACTTACAGTCCCGGCATATGTACTACAGCGTGTCCAGCGCTTTCGAGCGGTCTCGTGTGGAAGTACAGCGCCACTTACAGTCCCGGCATATGTACTACAGCGTTTCCAGCGGTCTCGTTTGAACAGACACGTTAAATGAAACGAATGCATGTGAACGGAAGACTTTTTTGAAAGCGCATACTGTGCATAAACGCAAACATTCCCGTGTACATATGGCCTTAGCCCCGCCCACATGTTCCGGGTGTTACAGCCTTTGAAGTCAGACTCCACTTTGTCTCTGTATTGTCTCTTTGCACTGCTAATAGCTCTCCGGAGGGCATACCTAGACTTCCTGTACTCATCCAAATCTCCACCTCTGTGTGCAGTGGCGACTCGTCATTAGGGGCAAGTACAGCCCCACCTAGTGTCAGCAGAAAGTAATGCAAATAATAATTAAAAAAATATGCAAAAAATAAACATGTTAAAATATATTTTAAGATCATGTTCAGTCATCTGATTCGTCTGTACATTGCTGTTTTAGTCTGCGTTCTTCTAATTAGTGTCCACAGTGTGCCTATTGAGCCGTGTTGAGCGATGTGGGGCAAGCCCCTCTCTCTGCTGTAGAAATGAAGGTGTACTGTAAAAACTACACCGCGCATGCTCAGAGTATTTTTCTATTCAATGTGTGCGGCAAAAAAACAATCACCAGTGGGGCATAATGCTGGCATACCTACCAAACGTCATCTCATAATTCAGAGAGCTGATTGGCTGTAAGTACGTGTGCCGCGAAAAGTGTAGTTTTCACCCTGTAGTGAAGAGGCGACGAGATAGAGCAGCGTATAGCGATTCAAATCAGTAAAACGGAAAGAAAATGAATGAATTGACCATCTACTTCAGCTTTGGTAAGTTCATTTTATGTCATATCTTTTGTTGATCTTCTGTGTTTTGCCTATAGGCTATTGCTCTGCTGGATCGATTGATATTGTGACCTCGGTGATGAGTGTCTGTGTTTTCCTCTCTCTATCGGAACCATGGATAGCTTACAGCTATTTGTTTACGTGTTTAAAAAAGCACCAGAAGCTTATATATACACATCTAAGTTGTTCGTGCCCCACCACTTTTGTACATATAAAAACGCCATTGTTCTGTGTGCGATAGTGCAGGCTTTTAGCTTGGCATGGACCTCGCTGTTTATCCAGGGATTTTGATTCGAGAATGCCCGTAATCTTCGGTACTACGTCATCGATGCATTTTCCAATGTAGCAAATGACCGCATCCGTGTGTGTGTTGATGTTTTCGTCCTCAAACACACACCACTCAGTAGTTTCAAAGCAGTGCTGCAGAGCTGAGTCTGACTCCTCACTCCAGCGCTGTATAGTCCGTGTCACCGGTCTGTCCCGTTTAAGTTTCTGCTTGTAAGCAGGCAGCAGCAGCAGTGAGATGTGGTCTGATTTGCCGGAGCGAGGGCGAGGGAGAGCTTTATATCCATGTCAGAAAGGGGAATAAACATGGACTAGTGTATTTCCGCCGCGCGTCAGGCAGCTGATGTGTTGATACTTCGGCAGGACCTTCTTCATGTTGGCAGTGTTAAAATCCCCGGCCACAATAAAAGCCGCCTCTGGCCGTGAAGTCT